CTATTTTCATTCAAAAGAAATTTCCGATTCAATAGTTAGACGAAGATGACCTTGAAAAATCCGAACGAAATTTGAATGCAGACTATTTTGGTCATGTTAGTGTTGTTTTCGTATCAGACATTGAAAAGCATGAAAAAATAATGTTGTTCTAGGAGCTAATCATAGTGTGTAATACGATTAGCATGGATTGCTTCTATAGTACATACGTTAGCATGCTAATCTTGATAAACACCACCTCATTACATAAGCTTTTCGTCTCATTCAAACGAAATTTTAGCAAACGTTACCGGAAGCAATGCCAGGTAAATAGGCACTATGCCATTTAGTACAGCAATATGGCATGCGCTAAATAGGCCCATTGGTTTTGGTTCGGGTGTTTTGTGTTATGTGCACTGCAGTTATGATTAGCACATAATCGTCTTAGTGATTTGCTAGGTCGTAACTCCTGTTAAGCAGAAGTTACGAGCCGGCCTGGTGTGACGCATAGAGCGGTGTGAACGGTGCATTCATCTTTCTGTCAGGTGTAGCATCATAGGTCGCATCCGTCCATGAATAGCGGTGAGATTTTCCTGGGTTTTTACACTGGTCGTGACTAACCCGGCGTGTGTGTGCTTTATTGAGTGTGCAGAGCATCAGCTATGGCCCAGTGAGTTCACCGCGCTCTACGACCGGCCGACACGCGATCCGGTGGATAAGGGGCGATTGCCGGCTGGCTCTCAGCATATGTAACGCCTCAGGTGGAGTGCTGCATGGACAACCACCATTGTGCAACCACCCTTCGTACATTTTTGGTAGTGAGGATGGCTTTGTTTTACGCTGAATAGATATACTAATTTTTCCGCTTTGTATGTCATCTATATAGCTGCAATTTTGCATCATACAACCGTGCATTCATTCACAACAATACAAAAAAGTAGATCGCTGATAGGCGTTCGATGAATGGATAACAGTGACCCGAATAAAAGAAAATGTCACTCGTTATTTCACACTGTAGCTACGATTGCGATTGCGATTCGAAATATTGGCCATTGCAACTCACGAATGATTCTAATGCATCGTAGTACCATCATCGTACGACTGTCGTCGAAAATGACCCCCCCCCCCCCGAACGATGAATAAACGGAGGGTTGTGTTCAAGTGTTAACAATGCTTTTCGTGAGGATCGTGTTTTTTTCACGGAATTTGGTCTGTGAATAACATATGGTCTATACGGTTAAGTATTCAATAAATGGACGAATTTCATCCCTTGCGTTTGTTTTATGCTGCGTGCCCGAATGCTTGAAGTTAAGAGCTGCATATTAGGCATGCAATGCACATGTTGGGTCTGTTTGCACCTTTTTCTTTTTTTAAACGCCTTGCAACTGTTTTATGGCCAAGAGAAAAAAAGTGAAAGAACTATGGACAACTGTATTTGAAACAGATTTAGATGACAATAAGCGAAGAAGCTATAGCAGTGCTTTATTCTATGACACCTATCACTTATTGAACATTACTCAGAACGCATACCATGCCGAGTGATCTGGCCATTACGGACTGACACGTGGTTACCAGCCGAGGTAGCCACCAGAACTCGGAGACTGCAGTAAAACACATAAAAGTAGCACCAGGACCTGGAGACTGTAGTAAGGATTCTAGCAATAACACCAAACACGGAGACTGCAGTAGCTCATACAACAGTAGCACCAAAACTCGGAGACTGCAGTAGAACATACGACAGTAGCGCCAGAACTTGGAGACTACAGTAGACCATATAATGGTAGCACCAGACCTCGGAGACTGCAGTAGAACATCCATCAGTAGCACCAGGACCCGGAGACTGCAGTAAGGCACAGAAAAATCAAAATACGGAGACTGCAGTAGAATATACAACAGTAGCACCATCAACCCGAGACTGCAATAAGGCTTGTAATAATAATCAAAACACGGAGACTGCAGTAGCTCATTCAACAGCAGCACCAAAACTCGGAGACTGCCGTAGAACATACGACAGTAGCGCCAGAACTTGGAGACTACAGTAGAGCATATAATGGTAGCACCTGAACCCGAAGACTGCAGTAAGGATTTTGACAGTAGCACCAAAACTCAGAGACTGCAGTAAAACATACAACAGTAACACCAGAACTTGGAGACTGCAGTAGAACACATAAAAGTAGCACAAGAACGCAGGGACTGCAATGGAGCATACAACGGTACCACCAGAACTCGGAGACTGCAGTAGAGCACAAAGCAGTAGCACCAGAACTTGGAGACTGCAGTAGAGCATACAACGGTACCACTAGGACTCAGAGACGGCAGTAGAACAACGGTGACACCAGAATTCCGAGACTGCAATAAATCATGTAACAGTAGCACCAGAACATGGAGACTGCAGTATGGCATGTAACAGTAACACCGTACCATGGATGAGGTAATACTTGATTGGTGTCTCGTGAAAATTAGCACAGGGACCCAGTGGCGGATCCAGGGGGGCAAAATGGGCATTTGCCCCCCCCCCCAAACGGCATAATTTTAACATTACGCCTATGGACGAGGCATGGAAAGAATCGATAAATTGTTATGGTTTGCCCCCCCCCCCCCAAAAAAAAGCTGAGCTGGATCCGCCTCTGCAGGGACCCGCGACATTAGGATAAGGCCTGCCACCTAGCGAGAGAATTATCGTTAGTGGTAAGCTAGATGGGAAGTCTGAGCTCAATGTCGCCGAAAACTGCTAAGACACCAATCCAGTATTATTTCATCCTAGACCGTACCATGGATGAGATAACGCAACAAAACTCTTAGACTGCTGCTAGTCATATAAGAGTAACACAGAAACCTGGAGACTGCATCAGAGCATGGAACAGTAACACCATACCTCCTACCTTGGACCTCGGAGACTGCAGCAAATCATGTACTAATAGCACCAGACCTCGGAGACTGCAGTAGACCTTGCGATAGCAGATTGGTGCGTGCAGTGGGACATGCAACAGTAGCTCGGAGACTGCAGTATGGCATGCAACACAAGCACCAAAGTTTGGAGACCCCAGTAGAGCATATCATACCATTCAGTCGAGTAAGAACTATTTGTAGTTTAAGTTTTGTCAGATTTTTCGAGATCAGGCAAATATGTTAACTTGAGTTTTTGACAGCATATCCTGTGAGCAATGCCTACCGATACCAAGTACTGTTGTTAACAGCCGGCAGCGTTACAAAGCATACAGTGCACGTGTACTATATGAAATGAAGGTGCGTCATCTGCCGTACCGGATCGTGTTTAAGACGCTGTTAATGTTTTGTAACGTCATCTTGCCACTCCGGATAAAAGGCGGCAATGCAGTGAAGAGAGTGAATGAGATAGGGAGACAGAGAGAGAGAGGGGAGAGAGAGAGAGAGAGAGCGAGGGATGGAGGGATGGAGGGAGAGAGGGAGAGATACAGGGGCTCTCTTTGCTAAGCCAAAGTGTATCACGTTCTGCGCTCGCCCCGCTCGCCCAACGAATCATGCTCGACGGCCGGTCCTGCCCGCAGCTATTTCAACGCGTTTCTCCGCCTGCGTGACGCCGACGGCGGTCCTTACCAATCATGACTCGGTCTGCAGCTACCTGACATCGCTGTTCTGGTGATAGAAGCACGGCAAGTGAGCCCACGCCCCACTGGCCTATCTAACAAGCAGAAACCAGCCAGATAACTACCGAACGGGTGGTCGCAGAGAGACGGAAAGCGACAAAGGAAAGCTCTCTAAAAGAAAATAGAAAACAAAGATATTATTCAAGTATGTAGGTGATTGGCATATTCAATGATAATGTCAGGTTAAGTGTTAAAATAACATGCTCGAGCATTATTGGCCCTAGACGTTGTTTGTTGCTTATTTGAAGGTACTCAGCCAGAACGCGTATGTTTTTCGGTGTTTTTTTTTTTTTTTGACGATTAACTTCCACGATAACAGTTTCCGACGATAACTTTCGACGATAACAGTTTTCTGTGGTGATGGAGGGCGTATGAAAGCCCCGCCCTGCTTTGATGCGTTACGATTAGACCCCCGCAGCGCTGAAGAACGTGAGTCAACGGTCCTTAGAGGACGACGAAAGCGTGAAGCAGCTTTGAATTAATTCTTCCGACAGGTAGCAGTTCATTTTTAACAACTTCCGATCACCTTTCACCGCTCACTCCTTCACTCATAGTCAGCTAATCTAGCTCGAGGGGCTGACACAGTCCATTAAAACTTCAAACGGCGCATCAAACATTAGCAGTAGGAATGGTAAGATACATAAGAGCATAGGAAAACAATCACATTGCAAACGGTTCATAATTTTTCAGCGTTCATTTCCACCCGAGCTTACACGTGTAGTGTCTGGACGCGCACCGGCCACCGTCCTGCGCTGCTGGTGCCGTACGATACCTCGGTGTGCGGCGGCACAGTCTAAGCACAGGGGCGGGAGCGGCACGGCGCGGCGGCCGGGCGGACATATCCGGGCGGACGGGGAACTGCCGCCTCGTGACGCACCCAGCCGCCGCGGCCCACGCGAAGAGTCGTCGAAAAGCTCATGGACAACATCCGGCAGCGAGTTGGTAATCTTTTTTGGAACGATTTGTGCTGACTGTTGTGGATGATGTGGATGCCAGAGATCGTCGGACGACCACTCACGTGACAGGATTTGTTGGCTAGCTTGTGTGGATGGCGGGGCGACAGGGAAATGGACCAGACAGCGACCAGCATGGTGTCTGAGCCGACAGGCCCTGTCCAGCGATCCTATGATGGTAGTGACGGCCCCTCGTGCTACCCAAGTATGCCACCCTTGGATTTATCTAAATGTGACATACTCGTACTTGCATGTCGCTTGCGCCTACAAATCGTGAGCTTTTCTACAATTTTGTTCGATCTGTAAAATGACAATTTCTCCAAGGTTATGATGTTATAGCAAACATGACCAGGGCACCAATGGATGATGTATTAATAAATAGCGAATATTGCACATGATTCAAAACCTAACCAGCGTTATTCCAAGCAAGCAGCGGTCCCCTGTTTGTAAGATCAAAACATTTACTGTGGCATTGTATGCATTACCAGCCATAATCATATGTAGCGCCACAGTTACTGAGCTGTTTACACCAATCACTTCACTCAAAGTTACTGCTCATCATAACGCAGTGTGTGGTGAACTAGCCGATATGTCGGCTGCATCAGGTGTGATGTATTCCAAGTCCCGAATCAGCTGTTCTTCCCAGACAGAGTACTGAATCTCCCACTCCGGGTCCGGGTCAACATGATCATCGGGAGCTGCTTCTGGAAAACAAATATGCATAAGATGAGTGCTAAAATGATACTGACCCTGGCATTATTTATAAGAGGCATTGAATTAAGTATCCAGCAAATATTAGAATCAATAGGGAACAATAATTCGATAACATGAGTCATAAGCGTGACTGTGATACGTTTTACGTCGTCTACATGTCTGCGTCTTTCTTGAAGATGAAAATTGTTACATCTTCAAGGATGTTTGAGGACTGGAAAGTATATTTATTGGACATTTAGGTATACATAAAATTTACAAAAAAAATCGTATTGGAGCCGTAACAACACTAAGTTCCATATCTAAATAAATCCAAAATAAATCAAACATACCGATATCACCACTACTGGTGATGGCCTCCAGAATCTTCGGAGGATCTTCTGACGAGTTCCCCAATTTCAGCGGTACCGGACCTGTCTCATTCGCCGTCTTCGAGGAGATGCTCGGTGGAGTGTCTGTCTGTTGCGAATCCGAGTCTCGCTCTCCGGTAACGCCAGTATCCTCAGGAGTTATTTCTGGCCTCTCATGTGCTTTCTGATTATCTTTGTTGTTCCGCAAGAGTGACTGGTGAATGTTGATGCTGCGTCTCCTTCGCCTCCGGGGCGATTCATCTGATAAAGAAAGGTATAAGTTATTATTTAAAAAAATAGCAATAAAGCACACTCTATGGGTCACGAGGAGACACATATACGCAGGGGTTGGCAGCCTTTGGCCCACGGCTGTCGGACGTCCAGCCCTCGGCTGGTATCGGCACAGATCGAAACACGCTCTTGCAAGCTGACATTCTGTCAAGAGCGTTTATTTTGCTAAATGACATTGAACAAAGCATTTCATCTATCCCGAAATCAAATATTTCAAAACACAGTCAAAAACCACCGAACGTTTCCTACAGGTTTCATTCGATTCGCGCATCGCCAAAAAAAAAAAACGTTGCGACTTCTTCTATAAAGCATACGGTACAGAAAACACAACACTACTTTAAGTAAGAAAAAACATGGTCTAGGAGCCCCGAATGCCAAGGGGGTGAAATAACAACCCTCCCACCTTCACGTGACACGATCGGACCAGGATCACAGCCTGGGTGAAAGAAAACACAATGAAAACTGACCGATATCGTCGTTTCTGTTTGTATTCGGTACTCTCGAAGAACCAGCAGCCTTATTTGATGCGTTCGGCGGCAGCTGTTGTGCAGCGTTCTGGCCCGAACTGGACCCTTCGTCTGTGTAAGAAGCAGGCGATAGCTGTCTCAAATTTGATGTAATTCGGGCTTCAGCATCTCTCCTCACGACGAGCAGTCGGCCTTCCATGACAGTTTCTCTCCTTTAACGAAAGGAAAAAGTTGCTCTATAGTCAGGTTACATGTAACAAAACATCTTTTGTAGGCTGTTACGTTACGTGTCTACTGCTTACATATGCAGTTAAAAACAAATATATGTGGCTTACCTAAGGCTTTTTGGTGAAATTTATTCTAGCTCACCTGAAATCGTCGAGACCCTGGGCCATCCTATACAGATTGTTGGTTGCGCAAAGCATCAGGAAAAAAGCAAAAGCAACACCTTGAATCTGGAATCAAAGGGAAAACATTGAGACGTCATATTTGATAGCCCTTACTTTTGTTAGAAAACTGAATGAGGATGTAAATAAGTCCCAGCAACGTCACACTTATGTAAAATCTAACTAGGACAAACGTTCGTCAGAGGCATTGGCTGCTTTAATTAGTAATTATCAATTTCCTGTTAACTTGTAGGTTCGCATACAAAATAATATTTCAGGTCTGTCGAAAATCTTACGATAGCACGCTGTCTAAGTTCGAGTGAGTTCATCCCAGCGTGAGCACGCTTCTTGTGCAGTCAGGTCCGAGCTGTGTTTTGCCAGATTCAGAGTCCCTCTGTAATCTGTTAGATCTTGTCTTCTCCACCACCACGAACCACGACCTTCGTTACTCTCTGAGTCACTACGACAGGTCACTCCCGCAGCCACAGACAGCTCCGCTGGATGCCAACTGCAGTGGTGTGGAGGCCACAGACCCACCAAAGCTACTGAGGTTCAGAGTCCAGAAAGAACTGCCCAGATCAGGGGATAATCACGGAGCCTGCTACCCAGTCTGGACTGTCTCAGACGGCACAGACCATGGCAGCGGGCAGGCATGCGCGGCGGTGAGCTGACAGTCCACCACACCTGCTCCAGTCCAGTGGGTCGGTATTCTGATGGCCTGACCGCAGTAGGTGGCGAAGCTAGAATGTGCTGAAAATCTGTTTTGTTCCGGTTTTGGGGAGCTGTCCCCAAACTGTACAAAACATCGCATTGGTTAGAATAAAGAAGAATCTGAATGTTCGAGCTCTCCAGCAGGGTTGAGCCAACATCTCACCGACTGCAGGTGTTTCCCGAGCACGTTTCTCCATGTGATGGCCCTATATCTCCGGCCTTGTTTCCCCAGTGTGTTTCCCTTGTTTTCCCCATTTCCCTTGTTTCCCAAACCTTGTTCCAAGTCTAGCCTGGGACAGTGTCTCCGGGCCGGCGCCACAGCGTATTTTCTGAATGGACGCTTCCCCGTCCAATGACTGTCTGTTTCCATGGTGCTTCTGGCAGTGTCGGCGGGTCCCCTGTCGCCGCTGTTGCCGCCATTCGCTGGGGTTTTCCCAGCCTCAGATGCTGTGAACGAGTGGGTCCACCCGATGTCCGACAACAGAGGCGGATCGCAGTCACGTCGGGTAGGGTCGAGACTGAGAAGAAAGTAAAAAAAAAGTTAAAATGTTTCGCTTTGGTGATGGGCAGCCTGAACGTAATTCGTTTCGACTTCCGGGTCAATGCCTTTGGAGATTCGCAACAGCAACCAGAATTGACAAGTCCTTAAAACAAAAATTATTGCGTAATCCAGATGCCATTTTAATCCAGATCGCCAGATCTCGGGCACATGGATTTATAAATCGGCGCTTAGTGTATTAAAAGTTAGGATGAATGCTAAGATTAACTTATGCAGTGCATATTTTGCATGCACATAATAACTCATTTGCGAGACAAAGGCACTATTTGTAAGCACCACTTGTGGCAGGACCACCTGCACGCTATTAGCAGCGTAATCAGCAGTTGTAGTAGCGTATGAGTAATTTATTAGCCAGCGAAGTGCCCGAAAACACGACAGAAGACGCCATAAAGAGCGTAGAAGGTGCTGCTAGCAAACCTGGCCATCGCTTACAACATACAGTGACGGGGAGACCCAGAGGGACGGCGATCTATAGGCTACTGTCGTCTGTCGCTGTTGAACAGACAGTAGCCAGTGAAAGTTATTAATGATCTTCAACCCACAATGGTGGTCAGCACATGCACTGCAAGCATTAATTAAATGTTCTTGCGTTTTCACTCTAAACAGTGATTCCCTCAACTTGATCCGCATCCATGCATTCCCATCCCTCCTCGGGGAGATTCAGCTGAACGCTGACAAGAAAATCACGGACACCGCTGACCAAAGCAGGTGGAGGGTACCCACTGAGCTGGCAGTGCGGGCGGCGCGCCGCCCCGGCCCGTCGTCTGGTCATGGTGCTGTGACTTGCACCAGAGAGGGAAACTGGGCCGCCCACGGCGGCGGTCAGTGCGCGCCGGGGGTGGCGTAACGCCTCAGTGACGCCCACTTCCGGGCACGCGGCGTTCGCGCTGTAACGCGCCGTCAGCACCGGCTCTCCCAGATGGAGCGGGAGGCCTCAGACGTGGCGGACGGACGAACAGACTGACAGGCGGAGCAGCAGATCTCAAACGTGGCACGGTCAGACCGCCAGACTTCCAGACTCCTAGACGGAGCGGCAGACTCTCAGAGGCATGGCGGACGGACACTAGACTGCTAGACTGCAAGACTGCCAGACGGAGCAGCAGACCTCAGGCATACCCTTAGACCTTCAGAAAAGAAAATCGTGCTAAAAACTTTTTATTAGCTGCTAAGACATTGGCTTTACTTTCCATTTATATAGTTTGGGGTTGCCTTTCTGGGATTTTCTTTTACCCGAAAAACAAACGAAATATAGGTAGCAAAAGTGATGGGTAGTGGTTAAAATCTGTCGTAATCAATTAGTGTTCATACATAACATGATATAGGTATAGGCCGATCTCATCAAATAAGCAAAGCTGAAAGTCATCAACTAAACAAATATACGAATACTGCATGGGGGAGCGGGCAATAGCAAAAAATATTGCCCGATGTGACGTCACTGTCGCCCGAGGGTGAAGACCGAAACAAGTGCTATTGCCCGAGGCGAAGCCGAGGGCAATAGCACTTGTGGAGGTCTTCACCCGAGGGCGACAGTGACGTTACAGAGGGCAATATTTTTGCTATTGCCCGCTCCCGCATGCAGTACCTATTCGTTTTATTACATGGCCAACTCTCGGAATCTTTACTTAGTACTCATTCATCCCGTAATAAAAAATATCCAAACACAAATATCATGGCACAATTGAATGTATTGAATATACAATCATAGCCACGTCACATGTCTACGGCACACACTTAGTTGCTTTACATGTTAAAGTTGAAGATGCAGCCTGTGAAGAGCTGGCCGCCGCCGGTCTGAGGCTCCACTGTTTCACGCCGTACTTGAGGAGACTCTTCGATTTGTAGCGTTCATCGTCCTTGCGTTTTACAGTAATGAAGAACTCCTTCACAGTGTTGTCCAGGACATCGTTGCTGTGCATGCAGCTTTCAACAGATATGCCTTTTACTTGCAAGAACTCAATGAAGACGTCTTCTGCTGATTTAATCACCTTTTTAGTGCCCTGAGCCCTGCGCGATGAAAATAGCTCATCCAATTCATGCGGCTCCAACAAGTTAAATCGGGGTATTTGAACGGACATGTTCAAATGACGGCCCAGTTCTTGATGACTTGACTAGCCAACCACGAAATCAAACTGAACAGTCTGAGAAAACGACGATAAAATTACGACATTTGAATTTTTGTTCAAACACCACTGCGCGAGCAACTTACTATTGACCGTTGACATGGCAACCGCTTCTCACCTTCAGAAAGGTCAGTAACCTGACACTGAAAGGTCAGTAACCTGATGCCGGGCAATAGTAAAAAATATCTCATGCCAAATTAACACAGGAGCCATGTAATAATGAAAATTAGGTCATCTCTTTTTCCAATCGTGATGTGAAAGACGCATGTGGATCCACACCTCTTCCACTGAACTGGCTGACCAAACGGTCGATCTGTCGGAGGTCTCCATTAGGAAGCGATCAGTGGCGGTGGCCCGCCCGGTGGGAGGCTCGCCACAATTTATCATCATCTCTCAGCGCCCGGTCTCGGTCCGGTGCGAGCTCGGCGCGGCGCGCGCACGTGCCCATCCGCTGCAGTCGGACCGGGCCGGTTCCTGTGGGGCGGTGTGGGTGGAACAATACATACAACATTTTTTCGCGAGTATGTACTGCTCATACAGCGGATGAGCGGATCGAAGGCCTTGATTCATCTCCGACGGCAGTGCCAGTCTACTTACCCCAGCAGGCCGGTCGGCGGTCGGCACTTGCTGGTTCATCGACCGGCCGAGGAGTGGTTTCTCCATAAACTTATCACATTTCCTGCGATATCGTGCAAACCTGCCGTCCGTGCACGGAATATGGTATTCTATCACCATATGCCACAATAATGGTTTAGCTCAACATTCACACGGTGGATTATTACTCACTCTTGACGCATGATACAGTGGAAACGCAATGCAGTTCTCATAAGATAAGGAATATACGACAGTTCAGGCAATGACTGAATGATGCTCGCCTGTTGGTCTGTTAGTTTTTTATCGCGTCTTGTAACGGCCCTATATTCGCCTGTTTTCTGTGGCCCACGTCTTCTGACCGACGCCGCTCTACCGTTCCCAGGAAACTAGGAACAGCTCTTCACGACTTTATTTACGGTTCGATTCACCCATGACGTTTTCGCGAGCCGGCGTCACGAATAAAAAGCCGCTTCCCACAGCAACAGTCTAGAAAACTGATGATTACACAAGCGGCAGCTACAGAAAGTTTATCCCCGACTCTCTGAACACATGGCGATTGGATATCGCAAGCCATCACTGTTGCAATTTATAACAGCTGCAGTTGCATAGGACAGAAAACATATGATGTGGTGACCGGTAAATACGCGCACCTTACACCACGATATATCACGCGTCAGGCCGCAAATGCCAGGCATTCAAGCACTAGCAGTGGTCCCACGTCTGCGGTAAGTAGGCGTTTTAGCAGGTCGTCTACCTTGTGCCTGTCTGCAGAATGGGCATCAGATGTCCGCAGTAACCGGCGAGCTCGCCACTAAACTGCTGGTTATCCAGTCATTGCGAGCTGATGTTCTCAGGTGATGGCCGATGGGCCCGGCAGCGCCATCGTCACGGCATAAGCATGGGCGGCGGAACGGGGAGGGCACCGGGGCACCGTGCCCCCCTTTGATTTTGGTATTTTAACATTAGCCCTATGGGGCGTTGCATGGAAAGAATGGGACCAAAAGTCGGCAGTGCCCCCCCCCCCCTCCCGGTGCGAGCGACTTTAGCGAGTGTCATTTGAGCAAACGTCATTTGAGCGAACCATTTTCAGCAAATGGCAATTCAGCGACTATCAAGTTCAGCGATTATCAAGTATAGCGATTATCAATTTTAGCGAAAGCTATGTTTCAGCGACATCTATTTCGTCGACTACAATTTGAGCGACTGTCAGTTCAGCGAAAAACTACATCGTTCTGTAACTGTGTATTTTCTTCTTTTTTTTTTTACTTTTGCGAGCGTATACGTACGAATGTTTCCGTAATTTCTCATGGTTACCCGGAACTGGATGGCGGATGTCACGCTCAAAGGTCAGACATTGAGCTCCGAATTTAATGCTACATTTCTCAAAATTCTAACGGTTCAATTTCACCCCCCCCCCCCTGTTCTTTGCCAAGAATGGTAACCAAGCGTTTGTTCAGATATTCATATTGCTTGTGCTGTTTTTCCGCGAAATTCCCCCGCTTGA